AGACAAACAGCTTAGTGTTTAAAAAAACCTGACTTTTTTTGAATAAGACTTATCTCCAGGTTAATTGGCCAGGATAAAGAGTTGTGCTTAAGGACATATGATAATCACTGGCTGGAGTCAGAAAGCAACTTCCCTTCTGGTCACCTCAAAGCTTTCAGGCACAGTATTTCACACTGCTCTCTAAACTTCTGAATTGATCAAGGAAAGGGTATGTATCAGATGATGAAAATTAGCCTTCACAAAAACAACAAGGAATCTGGTGGCACCTTAAAGACTAACAGATTTATTTGGGCATAAGCTTTCATGGGTAAAAACAAAACCTCACTTCTTCAGATGCATCTGAAGAAGTGAGGTTTTTACCCACGAAAGCTTATGCCCAAATAAATCTGTTAGTCTTTAAGGTGCCACCAGACTCCTTGTTGTTTTTGTAGATACAGACTAACACGGCTACCCCCTGATACTTAGCCTTCACAGTGCACTTCCCCACTTTCCTCAGAGTTATCATTTCAGGCTATCTACAGGCTTAAGCTGGCATCACTGCTACTCATTCACATTTTAAATGTTCTTAGAAAAGAGAAGGTTCAGAAACTTTTTTTTTTTTAAATAAAACTTAGATTCTCAAACACAACTGTATTGAAATCTAAAACATAGGCAATTAAGTTCACTGCGAGAGTCCACAGGACTCTACATGTAAGAAATTATACAGAAACCATATAAAACAGAAGGATGTCTGAAAGCTTAGGACTGATTGCTGGACAGAATTCAGTTTGCAGCAACTACACGGTTTATAGTCAAACTAAAATCTGATCTACCCTAAACTGTAACACAAGTCACAGGACATGGCTATGATACTGCTTATCATCTGACCAGATTATAATGACATACTTAAAAGTTATAGTTTAGTCAGGACCTACCTGTATCTTTGCACTTAGTTTAACATCACAGATTGCCCCAAAATACTGAGACACTAACTACCATCACACACCTCAAAAAATCTCTCTTCACAGTCAAGAGCTTGCAATTACCAACCCCCTCTCAAACCAAGTCTTTTAGGGGAAGGAAACAGAGGTTGCACAGCACACAGACAACCTGGTGCTTTGATAACCAAAAGAGACTGATAGCTCCTCTGCAACTGCTCTCAGAGCCCAGGAGACTAACTTATCAAAACCTGATAAATGCAGTCTCAACCCCAGAGGAAAGGCCAGAACCCATAATGGAACTTACTCAAGATGTCCATGTCCAAAAATGAGGCAGTGTCATATTTAGAAAATAGGAGTCAGTGAGCTGTGATGGTTACTATTCATCATCACAGAAGAGTTTGAAGCATGTGCCAAAGATTGAACCTCTTGTACTGTTCAATGTATACGGAATCATTTCTGGGTACCTTTATGTTGATACACCAGTCAAAAGACAAGTGTACCATATTAGTTCAGCCACTCCTTTGAAGGAATATTTGAATTATACTGCTCACTTGACAATCCTGTCTTTAATCCTGCCACACTTGCATTACTTTATGACTATACAAGAGCCTTGTCCTCACTAGGGAAAAAAAGGTGTTTTTAAAATGTGTCAGCTAATGCATTAAAATCCTAGTGTGTACAAGACAGTTCATAGTTTTCACACGTTAGTTGGTTGAGGTAAACCCTTGGCATCCCTTCCTCCCCTATGTTTACCTCACCCTGGTAACATGTGAAAACTATGCCTTGCCCACACTAAGATTTTAAATATATGGTAAAACACAACTTTTTTCCTATTGTGGACACACCCAAAAAGACTAGTTGCATGGTACATATTCCTGCAGGAGTCACCTAGATCCACAATCTTTTTGGCAATTTTGACTGTAACTTTTCCATAAAAATTCATGGGTCACATATCATAAAAAATTAAGTTGGGCATTTCTGACAGGTGTCTCTTCATCATGTGATATTATAACAGCAACTAATGTCCTTGTGACCACATTAGTTTACTGTAGCTCTTTTCAGAATGCTCTCATTAGGGCTTCTCTATTGCTTGCAGCTGTTCAAGGCTCAGTAGTATGAGCGTTCATCAGATTAGGCTATCGTGATCACACTACTATGCACATTTTTTTTTTTTTTTTAAACACAGACTGTCTATGAAGTGACCAACTGACTGTGATAGCACACAACACTGAACTTAAAAAAAAAGACATACAACATACATAGGCCCTTCTACTACTTTCTTAAATTATTAAATGTGAAATTTTAAAATTCCATTCTATGCTCTCTATACTATTTACTTTGTGCATGTCTCAGGTTTGACAATGAATATCAATGACAGTTTCCCTTTCAGGTTCTTTGCAAGGTTTGGGTTTCCAACACTGCAGGAGAAAGTTAAGAACAGTTTTCAACAGATTTTTTTTTTAAACTAGACATTTCTTTTGATCTTTGCAGAAGTTTGTTTTGAGCCAAATTTAAGTTTACAGTATTCCTTTAAAAACCAATGCTGATGGTCTTGGCCACATTCAAGGCCTGCTTCTTGAGCCTTGTTCAGACAAGTATGTGCACTCACACACCTCTTGTGTTTAAGGATCCTACTATTCCTCGAAAGCCTACTAAATAGTATGGTTTTTTTCCCTGTGTTGTCCCCTGTGGTACGAAACTCAGCTGAAACTGAAATCCATCTAATTTTTATTCACTCTCTTAAAAACACACCTTCAACCATGATTTACAAAAAGGGGGTGTGCTAAATTGCTTCTTTATGTTGCATAAAGACCTGAAAGGTGGTTCCTCCTACTCCCCTCCCCACACTCCATTGTTCTCACGGTTTTTACATTACAAATATCACCAATATCAAGTGTTTGCAGAAGATTTCTTTGGAGGACTGGGAGAGCTTCAACTGGAACTCTCTCAGACCTTAACTGAATTAAAGACAAAGTGTTGAATGTTTAACAAACCAATCTTCTAACTGTTTAACTCAAATGCCTGTGACAGGTGTTAACAAAAAAGCTGAAACAGTTTTAAACTGTGACTTACTTTCCCTCAATCAGGTTTCACTTCCTTAATACCATAATCCTACTAGTTCTCCAGTCATCCACAGAATCTCTCTCAAAGCCAGGGTAGACAAGATCTGAGTTTCTAATGTAAAAAAGTGACAGCCTATAAAAAAAACCCTTTAAGGCCTTATTTACACAAAAAAGTTCTTATCAAGTTTTTCCCCATTTGTTTTGCTTTCCAACCGTTGTTTAAAACTACTGTTTGCCCAATATCTCTTGCTCTACCTTTCAGTTCTTTAATCAAATTTGATTCCTTCGTTTGACTGTATGCTCTTATTTTAAGAGGAAGGAAATATTATTATGCAAAAACAACAAGGAGCCTGGTGGCACCTTAAAGACTAACAGATTTATTTGGGCATAAGCTTTCGTGGGTAAAAACCTCACTTCTTCGGAGGTTAGTCTTTAAGGTGCCACCAGACTCCTTGTTGTTTTTGTAGATACAGACTAACACGGCTACCCCCTGACACTTGACATTATTATGCAAGTTGCTTTTTAAAATTGTTATTAACATTCTGAATGCTTTGGTAAGGGGCACTATATAAAAATAAAGGTAACTATAAGAGACAATGTTCACTGGGGTAGTAAAATCCAGCATGTTGCAGAAAAGATGGCTTGTGATTCTTGGAAGGAATAGTTTCACTGCCTCTTGAGAACTTTCCATTGGCCAAAACAGAAAACTTTGCACCTTGGAAAGTTACATTTCCTACTACAGGTAACATGCCATGACAGCCACCAGAAAACCTATATGAGTATGACATGAGATATTGGAGCAGAAAAGAAGTGAGAATATACCTAGATCAACAGTTGTATTACACTCAATAGTGTATATACAAATGGCATCTGGGCACATTTTACTATCCTTAGAGTACTCTGTCTTCAAACAAGAGTGTTTTTATAAGTCCATACAAGAGAAGCATTATGGCTTTCTTGCAAGAAATAGAAACAAGGACGACTGTAAATCTATTGAGCTACACTATCATTCTTAGTAAGATTTTATTAAGAACGTTGCCTTTTTTGGTTTAGAAGATGTGGAAAATTAAACTAGTAGCATTACCTTTGATTCATATTATATAAAAGTCTACTTTCCCTGGACAAACAGAAATAGGATCAGGCAACACCACCTTTACTCATGCACTTCAGTGGGACTACTCACACAAGCAGGACTGGCAGGGTGAGGAGCATTCTATACTGGATCAATTCTACCACTATATTGAGAAACAATTAAAACAAATGGTACAAACATGAGAAATGGGCAAAGGCCATCCTACCCTGTAACAAGTATTCTACAACTACAATACAGATACAGCCCCCACCCCTTGCTGAAACGACCACGTGACCCATTAGATGACAATACTGGCTCCTATTAAAGCCTGCCCAGTTATTCCCCAGGCCAGCGCGCGGGGGGCTGGGGTGACTCCCTCCCACAGGGATAAGTGCCACGAACTAATGGGGCCGCCACGCGGATGAGTGACCCGCCTGAGCCGACAGCCCCACGGGCTCTCTGGGGTGCCGGGCACGGAGCCGTACGAGCGGGACCCCAGCTGGGCAGGTGGCTCGGGAGGCCTGTATCGCGTGCGGAGCGCGCTCTGGGTCGTGCCGCAGACCCCCGGGAACCACTGCAGAGCCCGCCGCAGCCAACCCCCTCCCCCTGTCACACACGCAGCTCCCGCGCTCCATCCTTCCCACCCACCGTGGGAGCCGGGATCCCTGGAGGCTGTGCCCGGGAGGCTCTGGCCGGGGGCTGGCCATCGTCTCTTATACTTTGCTACGCCACCGGCCCCCCTCGGACCGGCCGGGCTCGAGCCATAGGCTGGGGGCAGTTGTCTCCCCCCTCGGGAGCGGAGCCCATCGCGAGGCTGGGCTGAGGCGCTGCCTCGCACGCCGGAGCCGCCCGCACCAGCCGCTTTCCGGACGCGCGGCGCCGCGTGGGGCGGTGGACGCGCTAGCTGGTGGGGAGAGCCCGACGGCGCGCGCGGCGGGCCGTTACCTCAGGGCTGCCCCGCGCTGCCACCGCCGCCTCCTCCCGCTGCCCCAGGCTATGGCGCCGGCTCCGTCCGGACCCTACAGTGCTGTTGCTACTGCCTCCTCCGCGCGCTGCTTCGGCTCCGCGCGTCGCCATGATGTGACGGCAGCATCCAAACAAGCAGCCTGCCGTCGCCGTCCGAACCAGAGACACCGGAAGCGCTTGTGCCGGCCCAGCCCGCAGCCAATCACCACGCAGCTCTCCCAGCCACGTGATATACACTCATTTCCACCAGGGACCTGGGCGGCTGGGGACCCTCGGCGCGGCTCCCGCCAGCCCAGAGATGGGGACTGCCGTTCCCAGCATGCTGTGCGGATGACGCAGCTCACGGGTCCCATCAGGCTCCCTCACGTTGGACCACGCAGGAGCAGAGCATGCTGGGAACTGTCGTGCAATTACCCTCCCCGCAGCGCGGTGTAGTCTCCATGCGACTCTGGCGGGAGAACTTCCTGGGGCGCGAGATGCGGCCCTGCGCGGCGGGGTCCGCAGCGCTATGGCAACGCCGCGACGAAGGGGTGGGAGAGCGGCGGGCGCTCAGGCGGAGGCTCCGTGGGGCTCTGTGCCGTGATACCGGCCCGCGAACCCGCAGCGCTTGAGGTGACTGCGCAGGGGACGCTAGGGAACCTTATAGGCACAGGTCGGCCGGGGAGGGGGAATCTTTGCCCAACAGCGTGTGAGGGCTGCGCCCAGGCGGCGCCCAAGGCCAGAGAAGCGGCTGCGCCCAGGGTACGTGGCCGCCTGGCCGAGCAGCAGTAACACTTCTTTTCTTGGTGCGCACTGAGTGCTAGACAGGGAGGGGAAGCTGCAGGTGCCCCGACGGGCGGAGTGGCAAAACTTTAATTAAAACTACAATGCAGAGATTTAGGCCAGTGGTGAATGATGCGGGTATAGCTGTAGTGCCATAATCCAGCCTATAGCCACAGCTGACAGCAACAGAAGCACGTTTGTCGGTAGAGGACCACCATTGGTATACCCCGCATTGCATGATGGTGCCTAGATTAACAGAAGCATATGTGAACTGCTACAACTTTGACTCTGGCCTTAGCTACACTTGCAGATGTACAGCGCTGTGAGTTAAACCTGACTTCCTGCAGCTGAGGAGGGAAAGCGCTGCAGTCTGTCCACACTGACAGCTGCCCAGCACACTGTCGTGGCCACATTTGCGGCAATTGCAGCGCTATTGGGAGGGGTGCATTATGGGCAGCTATCCCACAGAGCACCTTTTCCCATTCTGGCGCCCGTGGGTTGTGGGAAGGGGGCGTGGGTGCGGGGGATTCTGGGTCCTGTCCCAATGCCCTGTGATGCATTGCTTCGCATCCCAGAAATCCCTTTGTTTCCGTCCACCTTTGGCGCCATCTTTCAACGGTTTCTGTGCAGCGTGATCTGTCTGTGGGAAATGGAGTCCGAACTGCTGAGGCGTATGCTGACGAGTCTCGCCAGCACGTCACGTTTGGCTGTCGAACTATTCCTTAAGATCCAAAGTGAGGGTGAGGAGTTCGACGATGCTATCGAGCCGTGTAACGCGTACGACACGAAATTGCTTGTGGCATTCACGGACATGCTCAGCACCGTGGAACGCCGCTTTTGGGCTCAGGAAACAAGCACCGAGTGGTGGGATCACATAGTCATGGAAGTCTGGGATGACGAGCAGTGGCTGCAGAACTTTCGGATGAGAAAAGCTACTTTCATGGGACTGTGTGAGGAGCTCGCCCCCACCCTGCGGCGTCCACGCAGAGTTCTTCGTCTCCGACTCAAGGAATATTTTCAACGCACCACTGAACAGTGCACTGACCCACAGGAACCCTCCTACCAACACTACAAGAAGAACTACTCTGCGTGGACTCCTCCTGATGGTCGAAATGACAGACTGGACTTCTACATAGAGTGCTTCCGCAGACGTGCACAGGCTGAAATTGTGGACAAACAACATCACTTGTCCCATAACCTCAGCCGTACAGAACGCAATGCCATCCATAGCCTCAGAAACAACTCTGACATTATCATCAAAGGGGCTGACAAAGGAGGTGCTGTAGTCATAATGAACAGGTCGGATTATGAACAGGAGGCTGCCAGGCAACTCTCCAAGACCACATTCTACAGGCCACTATCCTCTGATCCCACTGAGGAATACCAAAAGAAACTACATCATCTGCTCAAGAAATTCCCAGCTACAGTACGGGAACAAATCTACATGGACACACCCCCAGAACCTCGACTAGGGGTATTCTATCTGCTACCCAAGATCCATAAACCTGGAAACCCTGGACGCCCCATCATCTCAGGCATTGGCACTCTTACAGCAGGATTATCTGGCTATTTGGACTCTCTCCTCAGACCCTACGCTACCAGCACTCCCAGCTATCTTTGAGACACCACCGACTTCCTGAGGAAACTACAATGCATTGGTGTTCTTCCTGAAAACACCATCCTGGCCACCATGGATGTAGAAGCACTTTACACCAATATTCCACATGAGGATGGACTACAAGCTGTCAGGAACAGTATCCCTGATGAGGCCACAGCAAGCCTGGTGGCTGAGCTTTGTGACTTTGTCCTCACCCACAACCACTTCAGATTTGGGGACAACTTATACCTTCAAGTCAGTGGCACTGCTATGGGTACCCGCATGGCCCCACAGTATGCCAACATTTTTATGGCTGACTTAGAACAACACTTCCTCAGCTCTCGTCCCCTAGTGCCCCTCCTCTACGTGCGCTACATTGATGACATCTTCATCATATGGACCCACGGAAAGGAGGCCCTTGAAGAATTCCACCTGGACTTCAACAATTTCCACCCCACCATCAACCTCAGCCTGGACCAGTCCACACAAGAGATCCACTTCCTGGACACTACAGTGCAAATAAGTGATGGCCACATAAACACCACCCTATATCGGAAACCTACTGACCGCTATACGTACCTACATGCCTCCAGCTTCCATCCAAGACACATCACACAATCCATTGTCTACAGCCAAGCCCTAAGATACAACCGAATTTGCTCCAACCCCTCAGACAGAGACAAACACCTACAAGATCTTTATCAAGCATTCGTAAAACTACAATACTCACCTGGGGAAGTGAGGAAACAGATTGACAGAGCAAGACGGGTACCCAGAAATCACCTACTACAGAACAGGCCCAACAAGGACAATAACAGAACACCACTGGCCATCACATACAGCCCCCAGCTAAAACCTCTCCAGCGCATTATCCACGATCTACAACCTATCCTGGAAAACGATCCCTCACTCTCTCAGACCTTGGGAGACAGGCCAGTCCTCGCTTACAGACAACCCCCCAACCTGAAGCAAATACTCACCAGCAACTACACACCACACCACAGAAACACCAACCCAGGAACCAATCCCTGTAGCAAACCTCGTTGCCTACTCTGTCCCCATATCTACTCTGGCGACACCATCAGAGGACCCAACCACATCAGCCACACCATCAAGGGCTCATTCACCTGCACATCCACTAATGTTATATATGCCATCATGTGCCAGCAATGCCCCTCTGCCATGTACATTGGCCAAACCGGACAGTCCCTCCGCAAAAGAATAAATGGACACAAATCAGACATCAGGAATGGTAACATACATAAGCCAGTAAGTGAACACTTCAATCTCCCTGGTCATTCTATTACAGATTTAAAAGTCACTATCATTGAACAAAAAAACTTCAGAAACAGACTTCAAAGAGAAACAGCAGAACTAAAATTCATTTGCAAATTCAACACCATTAATCTGGGCTTGAATAGGGACTGGGAGTGGCTGGCTCATTACAGAAGCAGCTTTTCCTCTCCTGGAATTGACACCTCCTCATCTATTATTGGGAGTGGACTACATCCACCCTGATTGAATTGGTCCTGTCAACACTGGTTCTCCACTTGCGAAGTAACTCCCTGCTCTCCATGTGTCAGTATATAATGCCTGCATCTGTAACTTTCACTCTATGCATCCGAAGAAGTGAGGTTTTTACTCACGAAAGCTTATGCCCAAATAAATCTGTTAGTCTTTAAGGTGCCACCAGACTCCTTGTTGATAATGAGAACAGGTACCATCAATTTCCACAGTCATAGAATATCAGGGTTGGTAGGGACCTCAGGAGGTCATCTAGTCCAACCCCCAAGATGAATGGCAGAAGCCATTTGCTTAAAGAAAGTGGATGCTCCAGGTGAGGCTTGAACTCACAACCTCAGCATGACTCCATGCAGCACTCTTCTATAAGTACTGTGTGCTAACCCATTGCACCACTGGATCCCGTAGGCCTCATGTGCAAAGGCCACCTACCTGCCATGCCACATTTCATAGTTCTCTGAAGTGTACAAATTTGAACTAGGATGAAAAAACTACCATAAATATTTCACTTGAAATATCTCCAGCAGGAAAAGCTATTCTTTTACCTCCCATTCCACTCTTTTTGTAAGCTATTTTCCTTTAAACATGAGCGTGCCTGCAAACAGCCTTATTGACAATAATGGAAACTGAAATGCCATTTATGTGAGTAGATCTGAGCACATGCAGTATAAATGCAAATTTGCATTTGCAAATTATACCTGAATGATAATGTGCAATCACAAACTTCCGGTAAGGTGGCCATTGGATGATGGGTTATGTAACAATAGACTAGGACTAGTCAATTTGGCACTAGACAAACCACCATTTCACTTAACTTGGGTCCAGAAGGGTTGTTGGGAAGGGAAGAATGATGTAAGAACTTTCAGTCGCTATCTATTCAATTCATATAACTTCATTTAAAGGTGAAAGTCTCCATAACCTCTTATGCATTTCTTAAGTTTTGAGGCATGCCTTATTTATTTTTTCCAACCTACACCAGTTTCTCAGACACTTTTGCTTTCCACTGGTAAGAAGTGTCATTGAAAAAGAGAGAGTCTGTCACAGATTAACAGAAATGCTGAACTGTCCAAGTTAGTTAAAGCTTAATGATTTTCAAAGGTTACTGTTTCAGTGAAGAATAAAAAATGAACTAAATCTAAAACTAGATATTCTTGGCTGCAGCATCAGGTAGAGGTGTTCTCTGAAAACTTATCTCCCCCAGGAGTTGTGTAGCTCTCAGATCTAAGCCAAGTTCTGCAATGCAAAATTACAACAGGAATAGATAAAGATTGAA